CCACCCTAAAGTACGGTTATAAAATGGTGCACGAATAAAGAAAAAGTGTGTGAACTTGACACGACATGTGAGTGATTAAGTGAGGCTATGGACACGTGTTATGACCGTTCAGCTAGACATGACATCAAACAAGGCATACGAACTACATAAGCACGCACAAAGACCAAAAAAGACTGACTAGATAAAAATCCTGGGCACCGTATCATGGTGCTGACTGTTGTGACATGGTACACTGCACCTTCAGACGGGACATTACACCGTGTCACAACATTGCACACCATGGCGCGGCAGACCTGCCGTGACACGGTGCACAATTCCAGGCCTAAATTTGCGTAATTTCCAAGTTTTAATCAATTTTAAGTCCGTACTAATTACTATGTGAAAATAAAAACCCTCGGTCATAGGTTAAACAAAATGAGAAAACACATGTGGGTTAGCACCAATTAAACCACGTAGCATTTAGTCACGACGACGTAAAAAGAGTTCGCAACCGAAGGTCAAGATCTATGTTAAACTATTGTCAAGCTTTGGGTGTCAAAAGGGTACAATGGTAAAAAATTTGGACACGTTAGCAAGGCAGCCTCCCTTTAGGGTGTATGCCAATGGGCGACTCCGCGAGTTCGTGATGAAATCAAACTCGACTCCATGGTTTGGGTGGATTTAATAACTCGAATGAACCCTTATTTCCTTAAGTGTTTTTGGGGTTAATAGAGGTTAAATCCCCCAGGGCAAAGACGTATGTAGAACACACACGTTTTTTCATAAAAACCAAAGGAAATTGACTATGAGAAGAGAAAATAAGCCACTTGACGGATTTAAGGATTGTCGTGACACGGCAGAGTGTACTGTGTCACGGTACTGCAAACCGTGTGACGATGTACGGCGCCGTGATACGACAGCATTTGCCGTGGCGCGGCAGTCAGAAAATCTGACTGGTGCCCTGTTTTCCTTCATTCGCAATCAAGTTATTCAATTTTTCTTACGGGACAGACCTAAATGCGACGTTAAAACGTCTATGCTTATGCAAAAATGCCAAATTTATCGCAGGAATATTTTTCAAGAATTTTCAAGTCTCATCCACTCATCTTAATTAAATACCAATCACTAAAATCGATAAATAACCAAGAATCCTCCCCAGTGGAGTCGCCAAATTGTAGGCGTCGTTCGAAGTGTGCCTACGTTAAAGTATGTGTGAATATGCTTGGCCCTCATAGGAAGTGGGAATTGACATATACAATTAGGGATAACAATTAGGGACAAGGAAAGTATGGAGCCGCCAAAACGTTTTTAAGGAACTTGTAAACCGTTCACGGATCATTTAAGGAAACCACGAATAAGGACAACGAAAGGCAACAACGATTGACTCGTGAAGGTTACACCCCATTCATAATCTATGAGATTACTAATTCCATATGGTTCGGAACCACGAAAGGAGGATCTGGGATGATGGTACGAAGTGAGTCATGGAGTTACATTCGCCCGTATTGGCCTCTATTCAATTCTTATAGTGAAAAGTGATTCCTGTGATCTCAAAGGCATGCAAACAAAATATTCAATTTGCTCCAAACAGTTATTAGGATAAATTGGTTAAATATTAATGCAACACATAATTCTAAAATATTAGTGATTACTTGATTAAACAACAAGATTAAAAAATAACCTAAACCGGTCGTCCAAATTATCTTATTAGGCGTGATTTTCAATTACATATTCCCTTTAAACATGCAATATAGTGATCATAAAAATATAATAAAATAAGCATTAATATTGGAAGCAATTTAACAATAAATCCAACAATATAAAATCATTAGAAAAATAATAGAAATAAAAGGAACATAATTCTTACTTTGATTATGTTTGCTTGTAACTATAAAATAATAAACGAGTTAGTAACTTCAAGGAAAAATAATAAAACAATATTTAAATTAAATAGAGTTGATTTGGGGCCAAACCCTCAAACAGTTCTACCTTTCACGCCTTGGTTTAAGGACAGAACCTCGAGTTAAGTATGGACTCCTTGGAGTGCTTGAAGAGGGAATTTTGAAAGAAGAAGGGTAGGCTAGTGTTTAGGCTAGAGCATAGAAGAGAGAAAAAGAGAGTTAATTGATTCCCCGTACATCAGAAATGAGGGGGTATTTATAGGGAAAATGAGTAGAGGGAACACACGGAACCCTAAAAATATAAAAACCCTAAAAAAATAACACCGCGACACAGCAGAGCATGCCGCTACATAGTGCCAGGCACCGTCAGACGGGGAAACTCCCGTGACACGGGGAAAAACGAGTGACGCTGGAAATAATTAGGTTACGAGAGCTGCCCCGTGTCACGGGAATGCACACCGTGTCACGAGAATGCACACCGTGGCGCGGTATTGAGCCCCGTGACGCGGTGCTTTTTGCCGTGACGCGGGAAACTCTCCTTCCGTTTTTCCGTCTAAATACATTTTTACCCTAATTTCTTTCAGCCTTTTTAAGCGCCGATTGATAATTTTGGGCCATTTCTGATTTATTATTTATTAATCGGGCCAAAATAATAAAAATAAATAAAAAGGTTTGGGCCAAAATAATAAATTAAATAAATAAAAAAGGTTTGGGTAAAAATTAAAAATGAACTATACTTTGACTAAACATCAAGACTTATCCATGGACTATTTAAAAACTTAATTTAATTAAATGCGATTTTTTAAGCACTCTCAGGTAAATACTAAACACGACCAATAATGGCGGTGAAAGATTGTTTCATCATCGGGTTTGGTTTTAGGGAGACATTTTTAGGTGTCTACAGAGATATTCCACGCCATGTCAATAAATTTGTCTTTAGTTTTGTTGTAATTAGAAGTATAAGAAAATTCTTGGTTTTTATTTCCTTGGAATGGTATTTCATAACTATATCTATATGAATCATTCTTATCTTCAAAATAAAATAAAAAAATTATATGATAAAACATCATATCTATAATTCTTTTTAAAATTAGATTTCTGATCTTGCAATAACAATAACGGTTTTTTCGAATTATTTGTGTAATTAATTAATTAATTGTTCTTTTTTATGTGAATTCGCTTTTCTTTTTTTGATATTATTATTTTCAACCTCACAGTGTTCAGTTACTCTAGTTTGCCATTTTTGTGGCACTAATTGCAACCATTTTATCTAAGATAAATCGTATTGATAATTATTTTTCAATTTTAACCAGTTTTTTCATTGGTTCAGCCCAGAATTTGGAAGTTTTCCAGTCTTTAGGTCGGGATGATCTATACCTTGGGTTCCAAAAAAATCTTTTATTTCATTTTTAAGAAATAAAGATATTCCCCGACACTGAAGGACCAATTTTAATCCATATAAGTTCCAATTTTTAACTTGGGATAATTTGTAAAATACATAAGCTTGTGACAACACAGAAAAATCCGAAGGAATCTTCAAATTCTTATTACTAAAAATCCACAAATTCATCCCCTAAGCCCATGCACAAGACATGTTCAAGCAGCCTTCTTGAAAGCCCTCAAAGTTCTTCGGTTTTGATACTTTGAAAGTGGAGGAATTTGGGCACGAATTGGAGTAAGATTAAGCAGAAAATTATGCTTTGATTTCCCCCTTTAATTTCCTTTGAAACTCACAAAAAAGATGAAGAGAGAAGAGAGTTTGTGCAGCGTTTCTTTGGTGAAGAAAACTGATGAAAGCTAACCTTGTTTTGTACGTAAAAAGAGAAGGAGAAGAGGAGGAGTTGGGCGGCCATAATTAGGTGTTAATGTATTACCATTGATTAGAGGAGGTTACTGGGTAAAATGATCGGCCACTAATCCCTCAAAGCTATTGTGTAAATCAGCCTAAAACGGGCTCAAATGAAGCGCATAAACAAGCCTCATAATACTTATGTTCAAGGATTTTCTTTTGGGCTTGACTAAATGACTACTTTATGCATAAGAATGGGATTAAGGAAGCTAATAAATAAGTATGGCATATCTTAATATAATATATTTAGTCATGAAAGTTTTAAGGAAAAACCCGAGCCATAAACAAATTCTAGTTGATTGGCCAGAAACTAGACTAGGAAAGGAATGTAACGGGAGCTGAGGCGACATGAAATGCGTTTAAAACGATAATTTAGATTATAATATTGATGTCTGCATAATAATATAAATAATAATAATGAAACAATAATTAAATTACAATACAAAAAATATATTTATAATTCATATTATTTTAGAAAAGCAGCATAAAAGAAATACGAAATGTGAAACCAATAATATTATACATCTATAATGACCTAAATAATAAAAGGACATTATAAAGTGTTTTATAAGTATAAAATGAAAGAATAGTTACTGATACGATATCAATTGGATAAACGAGTTGACGGAATCACCCAATATAATTTTATTTATCGTTACTGATACGATTGCTTAAAAGCCATAAAAATCATTTTACACCTATCAAATTGGCACTTACGTCAAGGAATCACCCATGATGACCGTATCAATTGCAATGGGTTAAATTATATCAAAAATTACAGATAATTTAAGTGTAACACTTACTGAATTGATGCTCTAGCTTAAGGAATCATGCTCATAGGCTAATATTAATTCACACGAGTTAAATATTATTAAAATGATTAAAATTTAAATATAATAACTTTCAATTTCTTTATCAAAATATTATAATTAAGGTTTCAAAATCTTAGTAAAACCCTTAAAACAAAATAATAATTAAATTAACATTTCAATATTTAGAAATTAAGATTTAAATTTAAGTTTAATAGGTTCATATGCACATAAAATAGTGGTTCGAAAATATAGGGTGTTACATATTTAATTTATTATATTTTTTTCTAATTAAAAATTAAAAATATAGGTGTTTAATGTTATAAATTGTCAAGTTCGATAAATGAAATGGGTAAATAAAAAAACAACGAAGTAAATATTTAACAACTTACTTTATGAGAAAGTTAAATTTGTTTATACTACATTAGTGAAAAAAAGTTTTAATTAAAGTTAATAAATAAATGATGAAAATAGTAAAATGTGGCAATTATACTGAGATGGTTAGAGTAAAAGAGATAAAAAGGACGAAATAACAATGGAAAAAAAATCAGAGTGAAGATCATAAAAAGGATAAAGAAGCATTTGATTTTTTTTTAAGGGAGTGAACAGTAAATATTTTAAAAAAATACTCCCTATATCCCTTAATATTTTTTCTCCACTTTCCTTTTTGAGGTGTCCATTTTATTTTGCTCCATACCATTTTTATAGCCACTATTTTCCTCTCACCAACAATATTTTGGGCCAACTACTATTCTCTCTCATCAACTTTACAAAACATGTTAATAAAGTAAACATACATCTATACCCTATGGGCGAAAATAAAGGGACGAAAGGAGTAGTTTAAATAATACACATTAATACAAAAGTGAAATGATGTATAGTGTCATCAAAATTGATCAAACTGTCATCATTTCAGGCAAAGAGGATTTTTTGCCCATACTAATTTTTTTCCATTTTCTTTCTCTAATATTAGTCCATCAACCACAACCAAGTTAACCACCACCTATCACGGATACCGGTACATCCCAAGCCAACACGTCGACCACCACAACCCACAACCACTGTGTCAACCACCATAACCCACAACCACTGTGTTAACCACCACAACCCACAACCACTGTGTCAACCACCACCTTCTACACTAGACAACCACAACAACGACAAAAGTCAAGGAGAAATGGAGTGATTTAGGTGGCCCGTCGGAAAACAAACCGGGAATGCCATCGTCAGCATTTCGATAGGTACGACACTTTTCTGATGATTTAAATTCAAAACATTTACCGAAGAAATCGTTGGCTGACGACGATCAACCGGAGCCAAAACTGGTTAACCGTTATGTGAACCAATTTTAGGCTCCGGTTACCATCAACGGTAACCAATGATAACCTCTGGTTATTGGTTTTGACCATTAATTACCAGCCAACGATTGCATTAAAAAAAACAAAAATTAGAAAAAAAAAAAAAACAAAATTCGAAAAAACAAACCTCCTTTCCACTATTCCGCCGCCCCTAGACACCTAATTGATCGGACGCCTGACTCTGAGCCGGCGCCGATGCATGGTTTTGCGTCGCCGCCGCCGCCTTTCTCTGTCACCACCAGCTACTGGTAACCTCTTCTATGTGGTTGTGGTGGTTGTGTTGAAAAAGGTTGGTGGTTAGGGTGTTTAAGGAGAGATAGAAAAATGAGTTAGAGTTAGGGGTGAAATTTTAGTGTTCGGTGTTCGGTTTGGATTAAGGGCCAAATCGAATTAATTTTGTTTTAGATTTCCGAACCGAATTAGAATTGAGTCCAATCCACACTGAACCAAATTTCAGATGAGAAAACCGAATCCAATTCAGAAAACGATTTTTTTATTTATTTATTTATTTTTTACCTTTATTTTTAGTTTCTGCAAAATTATACAGAAAAGTTAACAATTATATCATTTTGATGATTAATAAATTAAGATCTGATTATCGGCAATTTAAAAATTATTTCATTAAATTAATTTTTACAAAGCCTAAACTAACAATATAAATATAATACTTATTATCTAAGACTAATATTAAAATACAAAAAAAAAAAATAATAAAAAAAAATAAATTAATTAATTAAATGTCGTCCTTTCAATATTGTTCATCCTTGCAAACACCTTTTCCTCATCAAGCTATAGATCTGTGTTCAAGATTACCAAAAAATAAAAACGTCAAAATTACAAACACAAAAAAGAAAGTATATATATATACTGTAATCTTCTTTAGATTGATGACTTTTCTTGTTGCATGTGACATATTGTTGAACAAATTGAAGAATAAGATTAAATTTAAAGAATTACTAACAAGAAGAGCAAACAGAATGAAATATTAGAGGAGTGACAAGAGGATAGAGACTAAGAAAGTATGATGGACGAGAGGAGAGAGAAAGAAGGGTGATGAGAGAGAGTGGGGGTGGCGGATGAGGGGTTTTTAGAATTTAGGGTTTTTATTTTGGAAAAATTGCTTAGAATAATCCCACCTTTGGGGCGACCGCCCAAAATAATTCCACCTTTGGGTTATTTTTAAATAATCCGACCTTTATACCCAATTCACTTTTAAATGGTCCTAGTCGGTCATATAACCTATTATTACAAGTAGACCTGGAAAACAGGTCATTCAGGTCGGGTTCGGGTCAGGTCAGCAAATGTTCGGGTCGGGTTCGGGTCAAGTCGGTCGATTTGGGTTTCGGGTCAAAATCGGGTCTGCACTTCGGGTCTAGTTCGGGTCGGGTCAAGTTCGATTCGAGTCAAGTTCGGTTGTGTCAATTCGAGTCGGGTCTGTTCGGGTCGGGTCAATTTTTAAGATCAATTTTTGGGTCTTCGGGTCGGGTCAAGTTAAGATCGAGTCAATTCGGGTCGGGTCTATTCTGGTCAAGTTAGTGTCGGGTCACCAAAATAAATTCACTTAAAAAAAATAGTTGGAAAAATAAAGTAAAATCGTTTAATAAATAAATAAATAAATAAATCATGAGTACCTTTTACGTAGGAAATAATGAAGCCCTAAACTAAGTAATTCACTATTTCACCCTGTTCACTTAGGATTCGGGTCAATTCGGGTCGGGTCGATTCAGGTCAATCAATTTGGGTTAAAATCGGGTCGGGTTATTTTGGGTTTCGGGTCATTTCGGTTCGGGTCAAGTTTGGGTTTCGGGTCAGGTCATTTGGGTCGGGTCACTTCGGGTCATGTTCGAGTCAACTCTTTTTCGGGTCAGGTTCGGTCGTGTCGGGGTAGTTCGGATCAATGATTTCAGGTCAACTTTCGGGTTACGGGTCAGGTCATTCAGGTCGGGTCAGGATTGCTAGGTCTAATTACATGTAACCTGACCCCTGGCGGCTTGGGATTTGTCAATAAATAAAAATTAAAGTTAGATTTTTTTTTAAAAAAAAAAAAAAAAAAAAAAAAAAAAAAAAAAAAAAAAAAACCCACCCACCAGCTGCCTGAGCTCGTTCCCTCCCGCGGCTCTTGCCACCCAGCCCCCAACCACAGCACCGACGCCGGTGTTGGCGTCGGCATCGCGACAGATCCCCTCCCCTAAAACACCAACTCCTCTCTCCCTCATGCGGCATCCTCTTACCCTCAAAAACCCCTTTCCCGTCCTGATCCCAGCACTTCCTCGTCCCTCGTCCATTAACAGGTATGTAGGGAATATTTCAAGCGTTAATCCCCTAACTTAAACCCCACTGTAATCATACACTAAAATACGGTGGCGTCCAAAGGGAAAGAAGATAGAGCAAAAGAGTCGCCAACAAGTTTTTTAGGAACTTGTAAACCGTTCACGAGGTGAAGGTTACACCCCTTAACGGTCCAAGAGATCGTCAACTCCATAAGGTCTTGAACCAAATAGGGTTCGGGGATGAAGGTACAAATCCAACCTAAAAGACATTGAACCTGCCCTAATAATAGGCCTCTACTTTATTCTGATCGTATTCATGTGCGCTTTCTGACTAACATGCAATCAATAGGATTAACCCTAAACCTGTTTACCTATGTTGGTTGAATATTAATGCACAAATAAAACTATTATTGACGATCATTTGAATTATAATCATATTAAACCTAAACAAGATTATTAATTATCTTATTAAGCGTGATTACAAGTACAAATTCCCTTTAAACATGCATAAGAGGCGTGATCAAGAAATAAATAATAAATATCAAGCAACATAATAATAATCATAAAAATAATCATAATCAAAACAATTATGAATCATGTTAAAGCATAATAATAGCAAGATCCTAGGCGTGATACTAACAAGATTAATAACAAACCCTAGCATGTCACTAAGCAATAAAAATCAAATCTTTAACCCTAACATGATACTAACATGAATAAATATTAGGAAGAAAATAAAAGGCATCGTAACGATCATATTTAGCATTAAAATTACCCTAGACATGATACTAGGAATATCATAATAATCTAAGCATGATTTCCATATCATAATATCAATTAAAACCATTAAAGTACTTACTTTGATGCCTCGTACCTCTTTCTAATAACAAAATACACGCGTTAGTAACTTCAAGGAAAATAATAAACAAACAATTAAATTAAACAATGGAAAGAGAGATTTGGGACCAAACCCTCAGAAATTAAACCTTTCACGTCTAGGGTGAAGGCAACTTCGAATTATGCTAGGTGTATCTAGAACTAATGAATGCGGAATTTTTTATATTTGAGAGAAGCTAGTTTAGAAAAGAGAGAGAGTAATCAAGAGAAACTTGATGAGAGTTGGTGAGAAGAGAATAAGAATTGATGAGAATTGGTTATCAAAAACAGAGTTTTTAGCACGTTATGTATAGAGAAAATCAGCCAAAAAGATAAAATATCAAAACAGAGTTCTGGCGCACATAAAATTGAACCAGCGCCAACGCTGGCTATTGGCGCCAGACACCAACATCAGCGCCAGGTGCCAATGCTAGCGCCAGGCGCTACAGCTGGTGTTTGGCGCTGATTAAGAAAATCACGCGTTTTCTTAAAATCAGATAAAAATTGTCGTACAGGAGGATAAAATCGCGTTTCCCTCAAAAATGCTCTTTGATTTTAATTAAAACCCTGAAAAGTCAACAAAGGTCAATTTATCAATACTAATTGAATTAGGAGTTAAAAGAACCTTCTAGAAGACTAAAACCATTCCTAATTACATTAGGAATGATAAATCTATATTAGGCCCTCTCCTAGATCATTGGGCCGCATATAAGGCTCAAAACGGGCCAGTTTAGTAAATTGGCCATAAATTCCTCAATATTCATCGGAATTGGGCTTTTATAATATATCGTTGGAAAGCTCTTGTCAAGCCCCATCCAACTACACTATTATTGGACCCATATCATGGACCAACCTAATTGGATTGGCTGTTTTCTTAAAAATAAGTTTCCAAAAACAGAGAGAAGAAAAAAACTGTTCGCAACACTAGACTTTCCACACTTTCACTTCATTCGATTATGTTTCACGCGAAAGATACTCATCACTGGGTTTGGTTTTGGGGAGACACAAATGGGTGTCTACAAGGTCACGCCGACCTTCCTTGTCTCCCATTTGGACTGCGTTGTACTCTCCTGACGTCAATTTTGGCCACGCCAACCTCCCCACTAGTTTCATGGGGTTTGGTTTGGTGGGGTTTTTTTCGAAGGGGGTTTTGGGGTTGGCTTGGTAGTGGTATGGATCAATGGCGGGTGGTTCCAAGGTCTGGTTTCAAGTCTGTTGTGTTGGCGGTGGTCCTGGATTGGCTGGGGTCTAGTTTGGTGGTAGTGGTGGTGGTGGTGAACTGGTGACTGAAACTTAAGTGATGGTGGTTTTTTTTTATTATTTGATTTTACTTTAGTATATATATATATATATATATATATATATATATATATATATATATATATATTGGACAAATCAAATTGTTACACGTATAAATTAAATTTAAAAAATAAATAAAATTGCCTTTTTAACCGGTTATTGGTCACTCAAGACCATTATGAGTAGATTGGATATAAAGGTAGGATTATTTAAAAATAACTCATAGGTTATTTTTGATGAGTTATTTTTAGCGGACACCCTAAAGGTGGGATTATTCTAAAAAAAAATTCTTTTCATTTTTTACTCTTTTCTATAACCCTTTCAAAAGCCACAACATGTGTTACTATTTGAAATTAATAGTGTAATGACGCCTTTACCCTTCGTCCTTTATTGAATTACTTTAATGTCCTTTTCCTTTAAAAAAAATGAAATGAGGGAATATCATCCTCTTTCTTTTCCTTCTGCCGTTGACTTTGATGTTCTTTTAAGTACTCTGTTCTTTGTTGTTTTTGTATTTGACTTTGTGTTATGGTTAATTTTGCAGGTTCAGTAGCTCTTCTGATTTGTGTGTGGATGGTGTCATCTATGGAGATCGTGTGGTTCCTTTATGTGCTAAATTGGAAAGCTTAGAGAAGCTAGGATGTTTGTTAGTTATGCTCTATAGGTTGGATTCAATTATGTAAACAAAATTAGAGGTGTTGGTTGATTGAAAGTTTTTCTATATTAGTTGCTATCTAATTCTGTTGTATTGTGTAGGGTATAGATTAATCAAATTTTAGATGTTCTGGTTTTATTAATCAAGCATTGATGATAGATACATGTTTATGATCAATTAATTAGCATCATAATGCTAATATCGTTCCCATTATATAGCGTGTTGATTACGGGGGTTTGTTAAGGAGAAATTACCATTATAGCAATTTAATTTGGCAAATTTAACAATAAAATATGAGTTTGGTAATTTTGTTTTGATTTAGTCTGGACATTATACCAATAAGAGTTGGCAATTTAGTTTCTATTGATTTATATCATAACAATTTAATTTGACAATTTTAACAGTAACAGCTTGGCGATTTAGTTTCCGTTGATTTATATTTGTGTAAAAGTTATAGCGAAATGTTATTTAACGAATTCATAATCAAATTTTAGGGTGTTTGAGATTTTAATTTCAAGTTGTCCATTTTTTGGTGTTTACTAGGGAAATTGGATTAGCTAGGTGTGTGGGATATCCTTTTGTTTTCTACTATGGAAATTGGATTAATTAATTATAAGAGAAATGGTGGGTAGTAAATTTTTTGTGGGGGATTTTGAATATAGATATTATTTAGGCAAAAAAAGGGAGGAAATTAGGTGGATTTAATTTTTAAAATATGTTATTTTTTAAGACCAGGATACCTTTTTATTAAACTCATTATTATTGATTCAAAAAAATGGGAAAATATAAGGGAGAGGGGGAAATAAAAGGTAGTGGGGGAAGTCAGTGAGGTTGCTTGCTTATGGTGATAGAGTCCTCCTTGTTTTAGGGGGTCGAGTTATGTGTAACTATTTTGGTCATTTGACCATCCAAACATGGGTTTGAATATGTACTATGGTCTCTTATCCTTGTGAAGCTGCTTGGCGGTTATTTGGTTTTGATCTGTATAAGATGCATCCTCCGGTTTTGCCTTTTCCTATACATCTACCTAACTCACAGACTATCAATGTCAGGCCTCATGAGCGGCTAACATCAGTGATGTCAGATGATAAGCGTTCAAGAACTTGCCTAACAGAATTTTTCCAAATGAATATTAAGCTAGGTTGTGGAGAAATTTGGTTGTATAATGAATTCTGTGAACATTATGTATGGGATGCATCAGCTAAGCGCTGGAAGAAAAGACAGAACAAGAAGATTTGCGTTGGAAGATTGGCATTTGTTGGACCATCTGAAGGTGAGAGATATTTTTTGAGGTTGTTGCTGCGCAATGTTAAGGGTCCTAAATCATTTGAAGCACTGCAAACAGTGAATGGCCACTTATGTACAACATTTCAACAAGCTTCATTGAAACTAAGACTGTTGGAGGAAGATGATTCAGTTGATCGATGTTTATAGGAGGGTTGTTCCATTCAGATGCCTCATGCAATTTGCAAGCTTTTTGCTACTAAACTCATCTTTTATCAACCTAGTGACCCTCTTTCTTTATGGATGAAATACTATAATTTTTTGTCTGAAGGTTTTAGACACAAGCATGCCTCTAATCCAGCTAAGGTAAAACATCTAACTGTAAAGTCGCTTGAATGATTTATAGAGTTAATGGGTAGCTCTCTTGCTGTATTTGGATTAGACCAATTAGTAGAACCAGATGATGATGAGATACGCAGGACAAAAGATATTGAGGATGCACTAAATGCTCCAATACTGCAGCAGTGTTTAGAATGTAGAGATAAGTTGAACCAAGCTCAATTAGAAGCATTTGATGTCATCATGGATTAAGTTACAAAATAAAAGCCTTGAGCATTCTTTATTGATGGACCTGGTGGAACAGGAAAAACCTTTTTGTATAATACTCTGTATACAGAAATAAGACTTATGAATAAAATTGTCCTGCCAACAGCAACCTCGGGTATAGCTGCAGCCAACATTCCTTCAGGAAGGACTGCACATTCACGCTTTAAAATCCCCCTGGATACCAATAAATCTCTTGCATGCAATGTGCCTAAAAAGGGAAGCCTTGCTGCATTTCTCAAAGAAGCAACGCTTATCATTTGGGATGAAGCCTCGATGGAAAAAAAGGAGAATGTTGAGTCTCTTGATGTGTTGCTGAGGGATATATGCAACCCGGATATGCTGTTTGGTGGCAAAATTGTTGTATTTGGGGGAGATTTCAGGCAAGTTTTCCCTGTTGTGCCACGGAAAACCCAATAAGAAGCAGTTGCAGCCAGCTTAGTTTGTTCTGATTTGTGGCCAAAGCTAATGAAATTCAAGCTAACAGAAAATATCCGAGCTAGGCATGATCCAACATATGCTTCTTTTTTATTGGCTCTTGGAAACGGTCAGCTGCAAGAGAGTGAAAATGCTTTTGTTGAATTGCCATAAAAAATTATCCAACCTTGTGATGTTGTTGTACCACAGGATGTGCAACTGACTTCAGGTGCTTTTCCAGAAATGGATATGCCTCCGTTTAATGAAGATATTTTTACAATAAGAGCTATATTGACGCCAATGAATGAAGATGTACATGCTATAAATGCAGTGTTGATTAATAAATTTCCAGGAGAAGCAGTCACATATAGAAGCTATGATTCAGTGATTGATGATTATTGCTCGATCTATCCTGTTGAATTCATAAATAAGCTTTGTCCTGGAGGTATGAGTCCTCACGAGCTTGTACTAAGGGTAGATAGTCCAGTGATTTTACTGCGAAACATTTTGCCATCATCAGGCTGTGCAATGGAAAACGAATATTATGAAAGCGCTTCTTTCCTAATCTCATTGAGTGTGTGGTTGCTGTTGGGCATAACAAAGGAGAGCATGTGTTAATACCAAGAATAAACTTAAGACCTTCTGCATCTTCAGAATATCCTTTTCAATTTCAGCGAAAACAGTTTCCCTTGTAGCTTAGTTTTGCAATGACAATTGACAAAGCACAAGGACAAACACTTAGTAAGGTTGCAATTTATCTTCCGCGATCATGCTTTTCACATGGAAAGTTGTACATTGCACTTTCGCGGGCTCAACAGGCAAATAATGATGATCAGCAGCATTCTGGCCAGGTAAAAAATGTCATATCTTATGACATTCTCAGAATGGCTGGCATTGTATAGCCACATTAGCAGGTAATGCATAATATATCCTTTACTGTGTCCTAATTATAGTATTTATGCCCTTCATTATATACTATATAGTATGTAGATACAACAATTAATAACATAATCTCTACTGATATGATAGGACAGTCATTCAAGGCTGCCTGGTTTATGTGTTTTGTCATTATTCACCACTTTATAAAACTTCATATTCAATTGATATATGATTTTCAGGTATAAATGAATCATTCATGTATAGAATTCAGGGGAATTTTTTTGACATATCCTGTTTTGCATTTTCTGCTCCCATTATAGTGACATACTTAGATTGCTTGCACTTAGTCAGCTATATGATCAGGCAATCAGACACTAAGTCCTTATATTTTACCATAATATTGGTATTTATTCCCTTTGCCAACATTCATTCTGTTATAAGTCTAATCATTCCCATCCTAAGCCCTGTCTGATACACTACCATACCATTTGTAGCCTGGTTTTTTTTTTTTTTTTTTCCTTTTTTCCCTTTAAAAAGGAAACATTTTCCTACAATATGTTATCATATAATCATCCTTAAAAGAGGGTATGCTACTAATCTTATTATAGTTTCAAAGTTAAGTGAGGATACAAAAAATACACTATTTTTCTTTTTGGCCAAATTTCTAAGATTCATTTACAGCTTTGCAGTAATGTATTTTTCAAGCTGAGTGTTTATCTAAATTGCAGTGTTACAAGAAGAAGTTCATGATTCTGAAATTGATCAAGCTGGACTATTTATTTAACTTGCAATGGCACACCAACCAATTTATAATTCTAGAATGGAAAAACAAGATAATATTTTGTTCTTATGTAACAGCAAACAGCTTGCTGAAAAAAATTAAGACAGGTTGTTTGTATTAGATAAATGTACACACATATGTGTCTGTTTTAAGACATTGATATTATAGGTGCATAGCTATTACTTTAGTATAGCGATGATAATATTGGTTTGTTATAACCATGCTACATGTCTCACCTAATAATGTTGTGAAAGAGTTTCTAAGTGGTATGCTCACATTAGGCTACATGGTTTTCAAAGAAATAAAAAAAAAGAAAAAAATAGAAAGAACAAATTTCACTGGACTGCAATCTACTGACAAACATCTATATGATTTTCTTAAAAGACAATATAAGTGAATGAGAGTAAATTAAGGGAAATCACTTGACTATGAACTTTTAAGGTACCCTTGAACAAATAAATATACAATTTGGTTAATTTTAGTAAAATTTAATAAAAATGACTTTATCAAGTTTCTGGTCATGTACAAATATAGTTTAAAATTTTCGATTGTGTTTGTTTAGTCCAGTAAAGATATATCAATTTTTACGATAAACTAATAACATGAAGTACGTGTAAATGATTAGCGTAATTTTTTTTCATTTAAACATGGTAAATTTTAAATTACGGGCAACTAGAATTATAAATCGAGACTTACTAATTAATGTATGCTTATAACGAGTTGTGTATTTTAAAACGCAACAAATAAACAATATAGATCACATGTAACTTACTCTAAAATATAATTTTTGGATGTAAATAACCTAAAGAAAATATATAAAATTACATAGTAAAATATTAAGCTAAAGTACATACTACTCATTCATAGAGTATCATATTAGTCACTCTAGGAGTATGGAATGCTGATTTTAAGCAAAAATATACATCAGACTACTATTTACCTATACATTAACTTTGAATACAGTTATGTTTGCTAAGCTTCCACTAGATTCCAGCTCCTATAAATTCATTGCTACAATTAGGCTCATATTAACATCATAAGCTAGAGTAATAATCTAATCTTAAAAAAAAAAAAAAGAAAGAGGTAAAAAGAAGGAACTCAGTATTAGAATCAATTGTCCAACACCAACGTTGTTGTCATATTCTTTGCCTCTATTTGTTGTCAGGTATGAAGACTCCATTTACTTTTCAATTTCCTTGTTTGAAATTCATAGTCAAACCGAGAACAAAATATTATGCTAACTGAATGTCAATCTACACATTTATAGACATGA